AAAAAAAACAGCCAACTAAAAGTGAAGTATTTGATGATTGTTCTGCTGATCACTACTGAAATGAAGGTTAAGTTAATTATCAGGATACTATCCTCTAATACCAGTTTCAAATAGTATACGTCATTCGTACAAAATTCCATTTCAATAGATGCTTCACAATCATAATTACTTCTCTATTATTTCGTTTATCTAATTTTGTTTCATTTTGCACACCACTCTTAAGCAGAAGATTTGAAATCTTTTGTAATTTCTTGAGATAGAACCCCTTGAACACATCGAGAATACTGATATTTACCATTGATGTTCGTAGTCCACATTCCTGTTATTTATTTTCGTACTACTCCATGTACTGCTGCTTAGACACACATTTGTTTCTCCTCTTTCCATTCGCAGTATATGTTTAAAGTCCCATTCACTGGTTGTTAGCCATATAAATCAAGATTTGGCTACCGACAGCCCAGGATGGCCTTCTCGCTGTTTAGAAGAGAACAGTGAGCCCCTGTGTAAGTTCGAAAACTCACCCGGCAGGCAATCCTTTAGCAAATTATCAAAATTCTCAAAGCGTATAGAAATGACTATCCATCACTTTACTGTATGTGAAATAAATTTAAACGAACAGGTATGAAGTTGCTTTTATTTTTTTTTATTAGAAGTAACCCGTTATCTTTATTACCCTTTGCAGTAATGGTTAAAGATAAGCGAATCTTTTACTTTTAGAAAAATAAAGGTAAATGAATTATTCACTTTTAATGAATAAAGATAAAATGACCCTAGACGAACTTCTTTTGATCTATCCAGCGGATACTTGAGAATCTAGATCAAGAAAGTCATGCGCTATAGACAAAACTTGAGATCTGCGCAGGTTGAGAGCATGAAAAAAAAAGTTCGCCTGGGGAGCACTTTATTTTTGCAAATAAAGGTAAATAAATAAATAAATAAATGCTTTTTTTTCTGGAATATAAAGATAAATGAAACATTTTTTTTTTGAAAATAAAGATAAAATACAACAATAAAGGGTTCTTTTTTCAAGACAATAATGTTGGAAGTGCTCTAGTACCAGAGAAGCCATGTTCAGAATGCTTCTCATTATAAAATAAATGTAATTGTAATGAAAACAACTTAGTTGGGACATGATTTAAATCATTGTGTTTTCTTCAATGTAGCAGATTTCAATCAGAAAAGTGAAAATTGAATCAAAACAGATATCATATTCAGAATCAGTATTACAAATGCAGCAGATCTATGAATATTTCGAAATTCTTTTGAGATCTTTTTCTTTTTGCCAAAACATTTTATTGTATTCCCCTCAGAGTGTGGGTGTGAGTGTAATCGGATAATGACGTCTATACGCTCGTCTACACCCACACCCACAAAAGAGATAGATGTTGCTAGCTAGTTTTGAGAGAGATGAATATGAATTTATTGGAAATCTGTTTAAAAAAGGAAATAGTTATTTGGAAAAGGAGAACTACGATGAAACTGTTAGAAAAAAGATAAATAATGTTCAATCTAGTCAAATCTTATAAGTTCGACCGGTGGCAATGAGTTACATGAAAATTCTTGACTATTTGGGATCATATGATTAATCATATTAATACTAATTGCAGCTAATGGAACATGTAACAGATGCACGTCGTATTGGATGAGTAGCATCATTTACTGATTTTGGTGCATTTGCTCTATGTTCACTAATTTGCTCTGGTTGATTCGAAAACGGACTTACTTCATTAATATCATTTATAAGACGTTGATGTTTGATTTTCTTTCGAAATTGATAATAACCAAAAACTAAACCAACAAAAACAATAGTACCACCAATAAGACCCATGACAGGACCAACAATTAATCCTATATTACTTCCTCCATCGCTACTATCGAAACTTGATCTTGATGAAACAACATATGATTGACCATTAATATTCACTGATGCAAATCGTACACCAGTTATAGCATTTGGATTTGCCAAAAGCATAAGAGCGCCGTTCGCTATATTCTGTGCTGCACTAATAGTATTAGAGGCAAAGGTTAAACCAACTTGAATACAACCTAGAAATTTCAGTACGTTAATTAAAATCAAAAGAAGTTCTAAACCTTTAATTTGACAAACCTTTTCTTAGAACAATATCACTACTAACAGGCATTTTAGCGAAAAAAAACTAAATAATTATAAATTGTGCATCGTAAAGGTTCAAGTTGATCATTTGCTACCAATGAATCACAATCACCTTCATAAGTTAGATTCGATGGTAGAAAATCGGTATAAACTTCAAGAACAGCTATAGAATATAAATTATAGTATATGATTTAAATGATTTCTCTAAAAACAAAACAAGAACTTACTTGAATATTCTTTAACTAAAATGTAATTTAACTTAAATGGAAAAGAATTTTGCACCATCTGTTGATGTTATTTGCAGTTGGATCATATACATTCCTACATAATTGATTGCTAAATTTACAGCTGTTATTGTACCTTCCGTTGGATCAACAATAATTCTTGATGATGATGTTGTTATTAATGAACCAGTACTTTGATATTGTAATAAAGTATATAGTGAAACAGCAGCTATTCATGTAAAATTATCCCAATGAATATTTTCAATTTTTGTTTTGGATTTTTCATCAACAATCATAACTGTAAGATTAAATGTTTCATTCTTTGAAACAACATCAAGCATTACAACTTGCTTAGCAGCTAATACAGGATTTGAAACTGATACTGATAGTGAACTAACCATCAAATTAACATTTGTAACAAATGAACTACAAAAAAAAGAACAAGTAATAAAGAAAATCATTATTTATTTTACTTATCTATTAACGCCATATGGTGTAATAAAAGCAAATTGAATTTGATATGAATCATTTTCTGTTATACCAAATGATGTAAATTGTGTTTGTCCATTTGAATAATTAGCTATAACACCAATAACACTTATACCTGATGATCCAATAATACTAGCCACAACTTGCCATAGTTGATCATTTGAACCTAATTTTTGTATAATATTACCTGACGTATCAATATCAACAAGTACAGGTTGAATTTCACATACAGATTGTAATCGACATAATGATGGTGAAATGACTAACACTAATCGACTAATCAAACCTAATGATACTGTCGTTTGATTTTGTGATTCTTGAACAAATAAACCTAATATATTTGTAACATTTAAAGCTGGATCAGCCGCCCCATGCTGTTTGTAAATATATTCGATTGATAATAATTGATAATAGGGTGTGGGTGTGGATGTGGTCTGGAGTTAGTCAAAGTGTACATCCACACCCACACCCTCAAGATGCTCTTTTTTATCGGCGAAACAAAAATGTTGTGTGACCTTTGTCTTTCTATTCGATAGAATGCCTTTCAATATCGATTCAATGTCAATGCAAACTGTTTTTGCAATTATCAATGCAATGTCGATGTCGAAAACTATTCATGATCGAACGTTCGACGTCATTGTCAACGAATTGCGTATTTGCGTTGAAAAAAATTTCCATTTCTGTTCTCAAAAACTTGATTTCAATTATTTCCATGGATATTTATCCTTGATTATCGAAATATGAATTTGATATTATGAAATTCAAATTCGATTATTCGTTAAACGAAACATCAAAAGTGTCGACAATTCTAGTTTACAAGGTTTCGTTCGATAGAAACAAATTTCGTTGATTAATTTCGATAGATCGCTGTTTCTCGTCGAAATCTTGTTTTCTATAAGAAGATTTTTTATTTAATTGTTGACACCTCAGAGTATACTAAATGGAGATAAGAGTAAGTATCTTTGCTTATTCTTATCATTTAGTATTGCAGTTTTACCATTGCATGACTTATTTTAGCTTCAACATTTCTTTTTCTCTTCTGCGAGTATTCAATATCATTTTACTCCGTGCTCCTTTCATGATAAAGCCTTTTTTTGACCGAAGGACAACACTTGGTATGATATGAGATGTCTATAAATAAACATCTTTCTCAGCAGATGTAGCAGAAGATTGATAAATCAGGTTGGTACAGCATTTTTTTATTGCGCATCTTTAGAAGTAAAGTTAAGGGAACATTATAAAAATGTTTCCAATATTTCATTGACATTTTATCTCAACTTTAAGCTTATATGACACTTTTTATTCATTGCGACTCAATTTAACAGAAATAAAAAACATCAGTTTTCTCATAACTTCCGATTTTTCTCGCAATTCTCTTGGTAAAAAGGTTGTAACTAAACTATCCAGGTAATGATCGTCTGCCTAATTGTGAAGTTTTCATCTAATTTGAAAACCTTTTTTCGCGTTGCACTGTGTTACGTGTTATGCAAAAAACGGCATTACTTTTGGAAGAACTTACTCATGCGTAAAAAGTGTCAGAATTTTCTAGATAAATTGTTCATCTTCGCACTAAAAGCTTAGGCCAGAAATACAGAATACAAAGCCGCCAAAAAGTAATCGATGGTATATTTAGATAGTCGAAGAGAGACATACAAAATATTTATGTATTCTGTACTTAGATATATTCTGAATTCTAGTTTTAAAATGAGATCAGTCGATCGTGATACATGCATTGTGGCAGAATAGTTGGAGATTTATTGTTTTTTGTAGGAATATCTTCTATCTAACTGTCTTGTTGTTGTATCACCTTTCTTCAAAAACCGTAATATGTTATCTACGAAAACAAAATATTCAAATATAAGATAATTATTTAATATATCTATTTATTCATTAACATATGCATTTCAGATAATCTTGTTCTGTATTTCCATTGCTTATTCGGATTAGAAAGATCCAAGAAGCATATATTTTATCGCAGATTGTTACTCAAAGAAACCAACATTTTTGAACTGTATTACTTCTTTCGTAATTGCAGCATATTTTTTAATATAAGCAGTTTTATTGGTATTCTATCACACTAAAATCTTCATCATGTTTTGGCTCGTAATACCATTAATTTTGGTAATAATTTCCTATATAATTTATAAGAAAAACACTAAACCAAAGGAATTTTCTTCAAATGTCTCTCAATACGATCATGCCATAATTATCGGAGGTAGTTTTGGAGGAATGGTAAGTGCTGCTTACTTAACAAAATATTTCTCGCGAATAACAATCATCGAATCTGACGATGTATTAAATGATACATTAATGAAAGCTACACCTAATGAAATATTAGATTATCGTTGTAGTCTTGAAAATCCAGGATCAATAGGACGTTCAGGTATTGCTCAAATCTATCAAGCACATATACTCGAAGGTGAAGGATTTAAAATCTTCAGTGAATTATTCCCTCGATTATATGATAAATTATTTAATGAATACAATGTTCGTACTTATTCATTAAAAAACGAATGCAGATTCACTGTTAATGGTACGTTATTAAATCAAAATTTAACAGAAGATATGAAATGGTTAGGTGTTGATCGTTTTACCTTAGAAATTGTTTTGAGAAAAGAATTATGTTTACAATTTGGGAATCAAATTGAATGGAAATGTAAATCGAGAGTAACACAACTGTTGGTTGATCAATCATTAAATATGGTTAAAGGCGTTAAATATCGTTGTAAGGAAAATACTGGTTCATCATCGTTTGATATGTATGGTGATTTTATTATTGATTGTAGTGGTCGTAACTCATCGTCAACTAAATGGTTAAAAGAGAGTTTGAACTTAACTGTACCGACTGTACAAATCCATTTTGGTTGTGGCTATGTTACATATGTTGGTGAAAGATATAGAACTGGAAATCCATCATTAGATTTAATGCCTGTGGTTTTTTGCACAGCAAATACTCCTGATAGAAATGTAGGTTGCTATGCAGTACCAATACGTACAATAAAACCAACAGATACGAATTCATTAGGAATATTAAGCACAAATGCCGTTTATTGTGTAAATTCCGAATTTTCACCAAATGATTCCTATGAAAATCTATTAGAATGGGCAAAAGAAAATCTTGATTTCGAATATTATACGATGTTAAAAGCAACCAAAGTATGTGGCCCATTGGTTTCATATCGTCGTGTAATCGACGATCGAAAATATGTCGAATTACTAGGGAAAAAATGGCCTCAAAATTATATATTATTAGGTGATTCAATGTGTACATTTAATCCAGTATTTGGACAAGGTATGACACATGCATGCCGACAAGCAAGAGAATTGACAAAAATATTTGCAGAAAATTGTCATAAATTAAGAGATATTTCTCATATTTACAATAGTCGTGCTTCAGTAATCAGTGAAGAATGTTGGCTTCTTTCGACTACAACTGATTGGAAAACACCTGCATTAAAAGTAATAGAAACTAAAAAAAACGGTCAAATTAAAATTTATGAACGAGATGGTGATTTTGTTGCGACTAAAAATGATAAACCGCCATTACCTTTCAAAGTTAAGTTTTTACAATGGTATTTGAGTTATTTTTTGCAATGTGCAA